CCACAAGCACAAGAGCATTATATAAACTACCATTACAAGTCCAATTCATAAGAATATATACAATCCATCATTAAATAGACATAATTCACAAGTCTAATTCGTTCCACAAGTCCAAACCGTCCCACAAGGTAAGACCAATGTCAAATTCCATACATATTGTTATCAACGGCCTAGAGCTAGCCTTTCAGTCACACAAATATGTTGGTACTGAGGATTTCTACCTAAGTCAGAATCTCGGTCATGGTAGGTGCCTTTGATATGTATAATCTGGTCCAATATGAAGTTGCAAAGGTCGCTGACGAGCTCTAAGAGTTAGTCATCCTTGTATGGGTCTCTTTTCATTTCTTTCTCTTCTTTCCACTACAAGAGAACAAGTTTCGGTTTAGTATTTCATATCATGTGCGAAATTTTTATACTACGGGTGAAGAGGTTCAAACTTACCCTTAAGGGGTGTCTCCTGTAGGCACCGGTGTTACTCATCATAGAACATACATAGTATCCACAATGTACACTCACAGGCTTCTGCTTGGGGCACTGTGTATTTTGCATATGAAAATGTTAAGTAATGCTTTTGACAGCCATGTAATGGAGTACTAAAGTAAGTTACACTTACCGCACATAGTGTTTTTATAGCCAGCCTTTCCTTCCTTACTGGATCATGCCTTCCGTGATGTTCATTGACATAGAACCTGAATGCCCTGTTCGAATTATTTTAGTAAATGCAACTTGTTAGTATCCAAAAGTGAACGTTACAAGTATGTATACAAACATATAAGCTAATGAGCATTGTCGATATGTATATGTCTTGAGAATCGATATGAAGTCTTTGTATGTCACCGGGTCCCTATCTATTGAATCAAAGACCCATGACATGCTCCACCCGACATCGATGCCTATACAAATCCAGTGGTTGCTACATGAATTTAATCATAGAACTAGATAAACTCTTTTGCATCGAATAAAATATATCGAATAAAGCTTTAAGTATAGAGTTGAACTTACTCGAAGTTGTATGGTAGCCATATAGTAGAGTGTTGTTGGAGATTTTTAAAAGCCAGGGCAATGTATGCCGAAACCTTAAGAGACTCTTGCCTTAGTTTCTTCGCACGGATGTCCTCTTTCTCCCGAAGGGTCTTTCCAACAGCTAGCTCTTTGGCATCCAGTTTCCACTGTCTAGGGTAATTAAAATTGTTTGTGCTATAGCTTGAGGGTCTATATACCTAGCTTTTACACTTGGCATTTGTTTTACAATGTGCACTTGCATTCTACAAATCACGGCGTGGGTTAGTTACAACAAAATCCAAAGATTACATTCATATCATATCGGGAGGGCAATGACTTACAAGCACCATGTGCGAATTAGATTCATTTCCATTGCTCTGAGGTGAAATCATGTCTGCATGTCATTGAAGTCAAAGATCATTTTCCTAGCTGGGCTTCCAAATGTGCCGGCGGGGAAGCATGCTTGTACGAAGTCAAAGATTACATTCTATGCTCGTTAGGAGAACACACAAATACCAATCATGGAACCTTCTCATTTCAAGTGGTAGGCGTTGAATGTCCTAGTTTGGTAGGAAGGACTTTCCTCTTTTATATGTTTTCGGGCGATCCTTTGACCATTTGATAGCATCAACATTTGGATACTTCTTTGCTGTTTGGTGGACTTTGCTAGTGACGGCCTCCTCAAAAGCCCGTGTTGGGACTTTTTAACTTGGTTCTCAGGCTTGAACTGGTCATGGGCATACCACTTGTGCACCGACAAGACGTCTTTCATCGGAACATAAATTGGCCTTATGGTGATTGGATGCTTCTTTCGAAGTTCCCATTCAGGCATGTCCTCATCTTCTTGTGCATCACCTTCTTCATGAGGCACTCGTTGTTCATGTATCGACTGCACTTATTGAGAAGACTGTGACATCTCATCATGCACTTGCTCGGTACGAGCTGGAGAAGGTTGTGGCTTATCAGGCACATGCTCGCTAGGAGGCGGGGAAGAATGTGGCATCTCAGGAATGTGGTGGTCACGAGACGGTGAAAATATCTCCCCGTCCTCAACAACTCGCTCCAAATTTGAGAGAGGGGGAGGCAGCGAAGAAGCAGTCAATATAATGTCCCGTTTGTGCCAGAGGATGAACTGCCCCATTACGTCTTCGAGTAACACCAGCACTCGGGAGTTGCGTAGTCTATCCTCCACTGCATGAACTCAGGCTTCACGGTATGCACCTCGACTCTAGTGTAGTCCGACGGTATCCTATTATTGTGGTGTAAGCCACCGGGAGGATGTGCCACACCCGTTGCCACCTCCATCACAATGTTCTACCGGACACTGAGAAACACCAAGGTGCAACTAGTTGGTTCCCATATGCGATCGACGGGGGTTGTGGCTGCAGTGGAACCTTGGCTGCTAGGAACTTCCGTAGGGCTGCCAACTAATGCCAGTTCTCCCAGCAACGCCATTACTGTCCGTGGCTCCATAGACGGTCCTTGCTCCTCCAGCGCCTTTGCAATTAGAGCCTTCACTTGGAGCTCAAGATTAGCCTCTCGGTCTCTGCCATGTTTCTTGTACATATGCCTGTCCTCTTCGAATCCGTGCTTCCAGGTCGTCCTTTTTCCTAGCCCCCTGGTACGGCCTGTGTGCTTGTTGTTTACCAAGCCAAGGCTAAGCTCGTCCTTCTCTTTGGAAGGATTGAATGAGCCCTTCTCCTTGTCTTCAGCATATTTCAGTATCCTTGATACTGCCTCTTGAGTCTCTGGCTTATCAAACGTAAGATTACCGCCAGATAATTCTATACTCCTCGCATATATCCAATTCCTTGAGCGTACCTTCAAATTCTTCACATCGATATTCCCAAAAGTTGTGGCCTCTTCGTTCATCTTCCTAAACTGCTCTTCCTTGGCATAGTAGCCACCGGGGCCTAGATGATGGTGGTGTTTGTTCCTCTTCGCCAGCTCGGTGTTATGGGCACTGAGCTCCAATGCCTTTGGTTAAGTCTTCTGAGCCACGAGCTTCTCCCATTTACTAGGAGTTATGTAGCTAAACTTGTTGAAGGGAGTTAACCCCTTTTGGATATACTTCTTGTTGAGCTCCGACCTTCAACGTCGGAATGACTCTCCCATGATCTTGAAAGCATTTTTTACCAGTTCTTGCTTACCCTCCGGAAATCTAAAATTGAGCTTCAACTACTTATCCCATAGTTCATCCTTTTTCTTCTCTGGTACCTCTTTCCAGTTAGGGATTGCTGGGTTAAATTTATCTCTTACTAGGGCCCTGATCGCATTACGGAATCGTCCTCTGAATTCCTTCGGCTCAAGGATCTCCCCTGCTGGCCCGACCTCCGTTATCACATAGCATGCCTTATCTGGATATTGGTTTGCTTTTCTATCCCCTCGTTTCCTCTTTGGCTTGGTAGTCATGTTCGTGGCTGTGTCTTGAGGTTGTGGAGCAGAGGCCTTAATGTCTGTCTCTATGGCTGTTGCCTCTGCTCTCCTTTCCTCTACTCCGTCTTGTCCGGTGAGATGCCACGGACGTTGACGTCGTCTTTTCTGAGTTTCAGGAGGGACATATATATACGACAGGTCAAGGTGTTAGCAGAGGTAATATAGCCAAAGCTTTAGCAAAATTTACAAGCTAAGGCTGTATCCCTACCTCCTCGTTCAGATTAAAATCCTTGTCCAAATCTTCCTCCATTGGGCTCCTTCTGGCTTCACGTGGGAAATGATCCTTGGAACTTACATATCTCTCTTCTGAGTCCTCATCCTAATCATCCTCTTCTTCTTCGTCTTCAGCAGCCTCTCCTGCTCTTTCTTCTGCTCCCCCTTCCTCCTCGTCACACGGCTCCTGAGTAAACATCACTTCTAGATCATTTTCTAACTCGTTATCGAACTGCTCCTGAGTAAGCTAGTCCTCTAGTGCTTGCTCCTTATAGGTTGGCTGCTCATCATGCTCGGGGCATCGGGCTACACTGTCTGGTGTCCGCGTCATTATTTTGCGCTTTGTTCTAATAGATACAAGAAAGTGTGCTTTAGGTACGCGAGAAGGTATAAGAAATAAAAAAGATCTATAAACCAAAGTAGTCCTATAAAACAACAATATATCAAAAAAATGAGTAGTAGCAGTAGTAGAGGCCTTAGAAACATGTCACTCATCATTTGATCATGAACTTGAAGCATCAAGGCATCATAACACAGAATAGAGGAGAAGGTAATGTAGGGGTGGCTGGTAATGATGCCAAGTTCCTCACAAGTTCTTGATCATCAGCTCATATTTCATATAATGTATGGACTTAGACAATTTCATCATCGGCAAAATAAAGGAGAAGAGAGGAGAGGGGAGATTTGGCAAAAAAAGCAACAGCTGCTTAACAAACATAGAGAGGAAAAGGTGTAAAAAAACAGCTGCTGCTTCCCAAACATAGAGGATAGGAAAGGTGGCAAAAAAACAATAGTTGCTTATAAGTAGGGGGCATTCGATCATCATATGAGCTATCTCATATGCATTAGAATGAGCTACAGTGTACCTTCTTATTTTTTCCCTAAATTTCAATCTCTCTTGTGACACAGAATATAGATTTGAGAAAGTTCTTGTGACACAAAATATAGATTTGAGAAAGTTGTCTTTTCGAATGCGTGCAGCTTCTGCTCTGGATTTGTTTAAATTTCTTTTTTCTGTTGCCTGATAGATCTGTAAGATATAAGGAAGTTTCGTAAGGAGAAGAAGAAAGAACTAGCCACATCAGATAGCTTCGCCTGCGAGAATTGAACCTTAACGCTTCCAAATTTTTTAATGATGATACCATCTCCTTTTAGTTTGATTGATAGATACATCACTTTGTTTCGCAAAAACACACTAAAAGAAATATACTCGGTTTCAAATTATAAGTCATTTTGGCTTTTGTAGATACGTTGCTTTTACTATGTATTTAGACATAGTATATATCTAAGTGCATAGAAAAAAACTATGTATTTAGACCAATAAATTATAGGTGGATGCAAAGTCTCAAATGGAGCTTGTTGCGAAGACCAATAAATTAGGCTCTGATGAAGGACAAGTGACAGAACCCACAGTAGCTCAGAATGACAATGCAGCTTTAAAAAATGCAAGGAGCTTCGATCCTATTGAAGGCGATGAATTCTGTGACATACTAAGAATGCCTAGACTGGTGCATGATGGGAGTAATTCTGCCAGTGAAGAAACAAACCACAGTGCAAAAAAATCACTATCGGCTATACAGCAGGCTGCTGTACTTGCACAATGCTTGCATGTGAGCCGAAGGAGTCGTAGTGATGAAATGTCTGGTATGTCTGTTTTCATTCCCCGTGGACGCTTGTGATTCCCCCCCTCCTGTTTTAAGCATGCAAAGAAGTTTATTTGGCATCACAATCTTGTTTGCAAATAGAGTTCTGGGCGACAAAGATGGCTTCAATTGTCATACTTTCTAAATTATTTTAAATGAGAGTTCTGGTTTAGTTGTTTTTCACATATATGCATGGAGAATAAAGTAGCTCCTTTAGTAATAGCATTTAGTTTATTTTGATCATGCGAAGGCATTGAAAATTCTGAATTAAAAGTGTCAGACATTTTTTTTGCATGGAGGAATTTTAGATTCCAAATGAAAAAAGTTTGTTTAGTAGATGGCATTGAAAATCAAGCTGTCATAGTTTGACATGCCATTTCAGTTTTTATTTGTATGCGGACCATTTCTTTTTACTTAATATTGCATACTCCCTCAGACAAAAGTATGAAGTAGATCTTATCTTAGCACATGAACCCAGAAGGCATAAAAGATTACTGGACTACCCTAATTCGTGTCTCTTACAATGTTGAATGCATGCATTTGAGGATGCAAAGTGATAGATTAGTGTTCATTAACGGTACATAGGAGATTACAATAATACCCTTGACTATTATTCCTTAACAGTATGTAGGAGACAGCACATCTTTTGCATTGGAAGGTGAAATAAGCCTAACATTTATGAACAAGACCATTATTCAAACTACAGACCTTGTCTTTTTGGAGAGGATACAATTTTTGAAGTACTACAGTATTTTCCCTTGCTATGTGTTTAACTGGATTTTAGTATATATTTCCCAAATGATTGTTTATGTTATCATCATGTGTAAGTTTTTTGGTTTTATATGCAGGGTGGGAGATGGCACCATACATAGAGTCAATCGATTCTCAGGAGGAATCTTACTTTGTGGTATGATTCTGATTGCACTATATTGCTCTGGTGGAAACATGTGTGGCACCATTTCTTGTTCTAACACAAAAACATAAAAATCAAGATTTGATTGCTTGACTGCTTGAGGCTCACACTTTTTTTCAAATTCTCACAGGCGAAGCTATCTGATGTGGCTAGTTATTTGCTTCCTATATTGCAGCCTCAAAAAATAAAAGACTTAATTGGATTTCCCTAACAAACTATGACATCTTCAGTTATTTGCTTCCTACATAGCAGCCTCAAAAAATAAGTGCAGCATGGCACAGCAGCCGCAAACAGACCCTTAATGTAACAGCTAGAGAAATCAAATTGTTTAAGTTTGAATTTTCAACCACTCCTCCTCTCAGAATACACAATTTCCAACCTTGTAGGATAGCATATAACATTAACATTCAATTTTCATTCAAATGTTCAGTCGAGAATTTCAATATGCTCTATATAAAGCAAGTCGGTATCTATCCATTTCTAAAACTCCATCCTAGAGTAATTTCCTAATTCAGAGTTCTACATTTTTCTTTGCTTGATTTTCCTTTTACAGTGCCAAACTCTCCACTGAATACATAGGAGTGATACTCATGAAAGAACTAGCTATTAATAAAAGAATGGTTTTATGTTTGTGGTTTTTGTATCAGGATAACTATCGACAAAAGATGCTTGGCAGTCCTCTGAGGGGTATCCCACGAAGGTAGATTGATCGGCAGAGGTGCGCGTAATCAAGAACAAGAAGGCAACAGAGACACAAGAGTTAGACAGCTTCGGGCCGTCAACACGACGTAATACCTTACTCCTGTGGTTTGTTGGTTTGTATTGGCGATCGTATGATATTGCGTGTGTTTTGAGGGGGTCCCTGCCTGCCTTATATAGTCTGGGGGCAGGGTTACAAGTCGGTTAGATCTAGGAGATAACCGAAAAGTAATAATAGATTACACGAATCATGGGATCGATGTATCCTAACAGATCTCGTAGTATCTTTAGGATATCTTCCCGGTGTCTTGCGCGGGGCGCCGAGCAGCGCTGTGCTCCGCAAGACTTCGTCTTGTGGGCTGGACCACCCCTAGGGGCGTAGCCCATGTAGTCTGCCGTGGGTATCCGGGGTCATATCCCCCCACAGCTAGTCCCCGAGCGCCTTGTATCCGCTGTGCAACGCCGTCTTGAGCTTGTCCGAGCAGGTGTGAACAAAGCCGAGCAGTAAGACTCATAGTCCGACCACCATAATGAGTCACCGAGCAGTTGTGAACTATCGCCAAGCAGTGTATCCCAAGTAAGGCTTGCCATAAGGATGTAAGGAGCTCAAGTTCAAAATCAAAAATTTTCTCGCTATGAACCAAGTGTGTCCACTTAGAGTTCGACCACGAGAAAGGGAGGTAATCGTCTTCAACTTTAGGAGGCACAGAGTCATCCAGATTAGAGAAAACACACTCACCGCAAGGTGAAGTGTGCCCACTTAGTCCCCGAGCCTGACAGTAGGTGACGTGGTCATGTGGTGTTAGGGTCTAGAAAGTAGAAGAAAAGCCGAAGACCTGCCGAGCAGGCAACCAGTCCATGGGCGGAGTCCTAAAATGAAAAGTGCACATTCACCGCAAGGTGAAGTGTGCCCACTTAGTCCCCGAGCCTGACAGTAGGTGACGTAGTCACGAGGTGACAGGGTCAGAAACAACAGTAACCAGAAGAAAGCCCCCAATATGGTGAGAAACCAAGTCATAATGATGATGTAGTCCTCGAACCACAAGTGGAAATCTCGGAGAAATCAAATCATGGAGAAAAAACCAGAGTAATGGATGTACAGTAGAAATTACTGAGCCTTGATGGTATTGCGGAGAAGCCAGCGAATATTCGGTGTGCAGTTCCCAGTTGAGTCGAAGAATAGGCGATATGGGCCACAGTTGCGTGGAAGCCCAGATAACAGCCCAGCACGCTGCTTCAGGGAATTCAGAAGGGCGCAAATCATGGCGCGGTTTCCCAAAAACCCTTGAATGCGAAAAGTGAACAGGTTGCCTTTATAATTGCGTCACCGCACTTTGCGCTCCCACATTTGCCACTCCGCCATTTCATCTTCCTCCTTGCCCTCATGCTCCCCCATTCGCATTCACACGCGCCGCCGCCGCCAGTCCCAATCTAGATCTAAGAAATGGCATCGAAGAGGGGAGGTGGTAACCTAAAGAAGGCAGTCATCGAAGCAAGCCATGACAAGGAATGGGTGCCGTCACTCATGGGGGAGACGTAGCTCAACGAGATGGTGGAGGCGGGCATTCTTCTTGACCGAGTCACTGCCGGATGGCGTCCGACCGACGGTGAGCCCTATCCGATGCAGCACACCGATGAAGTCGTAGTATTTGAAGATTATTTCTGGCGCGGATTAGGACTTCCAGTGCATCCTTTTCTTGCGGGATCTGTTGGAGTTCCGGGGAGTGAGCTTGTGCAATCTGCATCCAAACACCATTTTGCACATTGCTATGTTTATCCATTTCTGCAAGGCGTATCTTGGCATTCTTCCCCACTTCAATCTTTTTCGACACCTGTTTTGGCTGAAGAAGAAGGGCAGGGGAGGGTTCCAAGGTGGTCGGCGGCATGTATCTACAGCTCCGCGATAGGATGGTGGGCGAGTACATTACTGTGCCACTAAATACCTCGCTGAAGGGGTGGAACTCTAGGTGGTTCTACATGAAGCAGAGTCATCCTACCGTCCGGTGCGACATCAACCAAATTCCAGAGAACCAGAAGAGCTGGTCAGAGAAGACGACCAGTGCTAATATGGATCAGGTGAAGGAGCACCTCGGGCTGATAAAGGGCATGAATATGAATGGAGTGGTGGTGGCGGTGAGCTTCATAGTGCGCCGCATCCAGCTCGGCAAGGAGAGGGCCCATCCGGGCTTTGACTTCAAGAGAGATACCAACGGTACCTAGGAGAGGATAGAGAGACTAATGAAGGAGGCTATGGTACGTCGGGCTGCTAAACTATTCGATCCAAACGCGCCATTCAGTGTGCCAGGGCAGCCGAGAGCCTTCAACTACATGAACCGACCTCCGTAGGTAAAAATCTTGACTGTTGTTCCTGATGCTTTTTATCATGTACCAGTGCTGAGCAGTGAACTGATTTGCTTGTAGAAAGATCCATTTGTAGGAACGGGCGGTGTACTTCTTGTGTGTGCCAAGGAGCGATTGGCCGAAGGCAGTGGATGCCATGCCGACCACTCAGCCGGAGGAAGGTGCCGTCAGCACCTCGTCCAAATCCAGAGGCATAGGTGTTGGTCAGAAGGAGAGTCCCCCCAGTGTCGAAGAAGGTCTGGGGGAAAAGGGCGACACAAGATGAGCCAGCCCGAAAGAAGGGGAGAACAGTGGATGTAGCACCCAGCGGGCCAGGTGGCATCTCGCTTGGTGGAGATTGGACCGCTCGGACACAAAGTGCGGTGATATCTGAGTGGTCAGACGACGACGAGGCTCTAGTACCCCTCCGAGCACTAAGGCGTCATCGCACAACATGCGTGCGGAGGTGCAATTGGTGGGAGGGGAAGGAGTCCCTGAGCATCAGGTGGAGGAGACACCAACGGCGGGGGCCGCAAGACCTCTAGCCTAGGCCATGTGGGTTGACCCGAGGGCAGCGCCTAGGTGCTTGGGGAGGTAGCACCGGTTCAGAACCGTCTACTGGGAAGCTGATGTGTAAGTATCTTTGCCTTGGGATCCGTAGCTTTCTGATTTTCATAGTTGTGGTGACCGATGAGCTGATCTGATGCAGAACGGGGCACGTGGAGGACCTGAATCCTTCAGGCCAGACTGGCGAGCAGCCGAGGGTTGTTCCTAGCATGGAGACAATGCTGCAGACTCCGCCCAGAGTCCTTGGGCGCATGGTGGTTTGCGAAGGAGTCGACCACCGCTGCTGGTGGAGTTGAATGCGGAGAGCAGTTGGTGATGATGGTGAGCAAGTCGGCGGAGGCGCCAGGAGCAACGGCGAGAGCCGCCAAGTCTTCGGAGGCAGAGGCAGAAGCTGCCAACGTCATGCTAGAGTCTGGGGCACAAAGGCCGACAGCGTCAGAGGAGCAAGCGGTGCCCCCAGAGATGCCGCGGGGCGTGGTTGGTTGCTTCGTGTGGCCACCGAGCCCCCAGGCAGCACCACCGAGCCCCCAGGGAGCGCCACCAGCCATGGAGGAAGAGGACGATGTTGAGGAGATTGAGCGTGAAGAATCACGACCTCAGGCCGTTCGCATCCTCCGTAAGTGGGGGGGACGAAGTTGTGGTCGTGGAGGAGGAGGACACCTCCAGGGAGGTGAAGAGGCTGCGGTCCACCCTTTCCACAGCCATGAAGCAAATCGAGGTTAGTGTTGCATCGACGATGTCCATCTTTGGCATTAGAGAATAAGGTCATTTACAATCTTGGTGCTTTGCAGGGCATAGCGTGAACTGCCGTACACCGACAGCAGCTGATCAAAAGGATAGAGCCCCTTGCCGAGGAGAATGTGAAGCTGAAGGAGGCAATGAAACTGATGGAGAAAAACATCCAGAGGGCCCAGCGCGAAAGAGATCTTGCTGAATGAAACGCGAGGGACCTGGAGTACCAAAAGGGTGCCTTATCCGAGCAGCTGAAGACTGTCTCCGAGCGGCTAAAGCGCACCTCCGAGTAGCTGAGAAGCACTTCGAAGCAGCTAGGGTGCACCTCCGAGCAGCTGAGGAGCATCTTCGACCATAAGAAAGGTATTCTGGGTCGGTGAGTTTATTCTGCATTGTCGAACAGTCTTGATGTTGCTGATGATCATTATGTTTGTAGAGCAAGATACGGAGCTCGGATAGTTGCGCCAAGTCATCGATCAACTCCAAGAGGAGAAGGAGAAGGCGTCTGGGCAAGTGGAGAAACTGGCCGAGGATCTAGAAGGTGAGTAGTTTGTGGTCGGAGTTATTGCTGATATGATTGCTTCATTTGACGAATCCCTTTGGTGTCTGTAGAATACCATCGAAGGACCAGGGTGTAGTTCGACGTGCTAGAGCTGGAGGCA